GGTTATGACGGACTATGGAGGTTGTCAATCAAGGAGAGCTAGAGAGAAGAATAAAGTGCCTTGTTAATTGAACCGTCCATATTTGAGGAAATTGGAGAAAAGCAAGTTGAGGATAAATTATTGAAGAAATATGAGATGGAAAAGAAGTGCCTAATGAGTTGTTTATTAATTGAGGTGAGTTACGGGGGCGTAACTCTTTTCTTTAAGAGGGGTAGAATGCGATATAATTTCACGCTTTTTACAGCAATTCATGCTATTTATTGCTTAATTTTGCATGATTTTTCTCGTTATTGCTTAGTAGTACTGTGTTTACACGCAATAAAGTATATAAACGTTGGCCAAGTACAAGTTTATTAAGTATAAAGTTTAGTTTGTTGAGTATACATGTTGAGGATCAAACAATTTACAAAAATACAAAACACAAAAGTTTGAATGATTTGGGTTTTTCTATGCTATACCCTTAAGGTATTCGAGTTTCTAAGGTGTATCCATGCTTTTCCAAGTTTCTAAGCTGTGACTTCATCTCCTTATCAATACTAAAATGTACCCTTATTAGTTGTTTAAAAGTAATTTGAGAGTGTGATTTCGTGGCTTCAGTTTTCATTATTAGGGTTGCGGTGGCTAAGATTTCTTTCTCCTACCATTTCCTTACCTTTTATCATCTTTCTATTAAATTTATAGTTAATTTTAGGTGACGTGGAAGTCCCAAGGAGGGTACCATTCATTAATGGTAGTAAGTTGAGGGGCACAACTTAGAAACTTGAAAAAGCATGGGTACACCTTAGAAACTCGAATACCTTAGGGGTATAGGTTAGAAAAACCCTTTTAGTTAAGTTTCGGGGACGAAACTTCTTTTAAAAGGGGTAGATTGTAATCCCCCGAATTTTTAAATATGTTATAAATGAAACTTAATTTAATTTACAATATTGATGTGTATTTTTCCGTAATTTAATTTCAAAATATTCAAATTATTAATTTGGGTCGAAAATTAGTTTGATACAAATTATTTTATGAACCTTCATTCTATAATTTATTTCAATACAACTAAATCTTAGTCCATTTCATTCATTTGGCCCATTAATTTTATGAGGCTCAACCTTTCTACTTACCCTACATCATTCTCCCTTATAAATACCCCATTAATCCCCAAATTTTTTCCACACAAAAGGTTATTTCTATTTTTCCTTCTCCTTTATTTTATTTTATTTTATTTTCCTTTATTTTTCCTTTCTTTTTTATTTTTATTTTTCTTTTTTCTTTTTTCTCTTTTCTTTTTCTTCTTTCTCTCCTTCCTTCTTTCCTTTTGTTAAATTTTTTCAAGTTACAATCTCTATTAAGTTTTGTTTTGAATTGTTATTTCTATTGTTTGATGGTGATTATATATCCCGACAGATTACAAATTTATGAATTGTACTATGTTTGATTTATGAGATAGAATTTCATATTTTTAGTAAGCTTTAAACTTGCTGTAATTTCACGTATAAGGGTGTATTTTAAGGTTTTTTTTATGAAGGAAACTTAAAGAACTATATATAAGCTTTTGATTTTAATTAAAGGGAAGGTTTTAAAGTGTTGTTTGATTGGATTTTGAAGGTTTTAAAGTAAGTTAGTATTGCTGTAAATTATGTTGCTTGGGCATTGATTGAATTCTTATTGTTTGGTTTATGAGAGGACTTTATTGAAGGTGATTTCTAGTTATTATAGTGACACACCAATTCATTTATTCAAGCTACGTACGAGTTACGAAACCTTGCCTTTAGGTGCATGTTTAAGGATAGATCGAGAAATTAGCATCATGTATAGAGAAGACTGGGTAAAATTGTTTGGTTATACATTGTGATTTCTGTATGATGTGCACTATTCCATATTGTAAGTATTGTTTATGCTCTAATTATGCAAGGTGCACTTAGAGGCAAAGGTATGAGATTGATGAAATGATTCATTTATTACTCGTTCTTGATCATGGAGATAGAATGAGTAAAGGAGGAAATTTAAGTCTTATATGACGAGGTTAAGTTTGTGGAGTGCCTTATGCAGTCAAGGTGTTTATACACCAAGGTAGTTAAAGGAATATATAATAAATGTTGTTTGTCACTAGTAGATAAAGAATTGAAATTGGAAGCTTGCGTCACTTGATTGAATTGATATTGGATTGATTGTATTGTTTTGCAAATGAGTCATCACCAAGTCTAAACTTGTAAATCACGTAAAGTGCAAGATGGATGGGCAATAAAACTCTGGATTTGTGCACATCTGGAGTAATGGCAACCAGGGGTTGGGGTACACGGGGTATTAGCCGTGCACTTTTCTCGAGGTCGTCTGATCTACGAGTCTCTTACTTCAAATACTTTTCAAAACTAGGAGTTAGATGAGATCTCATACTAGCTATGGTCACGGAGTCACGCCCGTGTTCGTCGGATGTTTTATTGATGTTTTCGAAAGGAGGCATGGGGTTTTCTTTTATTGATGTTCTAAATGGAGCATGGGTTAGACAACCTTGTCTATTGCTTAATCTAATGAATAAAAATGATAAGCTAATTAATTTTAACTAGTGGAGTCTTAGTAAAGTGATAGTATAGGGAATATTTCAAGCATTATCCTATACTTGAACCCCACTGTGATTATACACTTAAGCATGGTGGCGTCCAAAGGGAAGGAAGCTAGAGCAAAAGAGTCGCCAACAAGTTTTAGGAACTTGTAAACCGTTCACAGGGTGAAGGTTACACCCCTTAATGATCCAGGAGATCGTTAACTCCAATAGGTTTGGAACCATGACTGGTGTTCGGAGATGAAGGTACAAATTCAATTTAAAAGAGACTGAACCTGCCCTAAAAATAGGCCTTTACTATATTCTTCTCGTATTCATGTGCGCTTTCTGACTAACATGTAATCAATAGGTTAACCCAAAACCTATTTAATCTATGTTGGTTGAATATTAATGCACAAACAAATCTATTATTGGCGATCACTTGAATTATAATCAAATTAACCCTAAACAAGATTATTAATTATCTTATTAAGCGTGATTACAAATACAAATTCCCTTTAAACCTGCATAAAAGGCGTTATCAAGCAATAAAATAATATAATCAAGCAACATAATAATCATAATCATAATTAAAAAATTCATGTTGAAGCATAATATTAAAATTAAGATCCTAGGCATGATACTAACAAGATTAATAACAAACCCTAGCATGTCACTAAACAATATAAATCAAAGCTTTAGCCCTAACATGATACTAACATGATATTAGGAAAGAAAATAGGAAGCATCATAGAAATCATAATTGATATTAGAATCTTTAGTTATTCCCCTAAACATGATACTAGGAAGATCAAAACACCCTAACATGATACTAGGAATTAAATAAATAATCAAGTATGATTTCTATATCAAAATATCAATAAAACAATTAAAGCACTTACTTGGATGCCTCGTATCTCTTTCTAATAACAAAATACACGCGTTTGTAACTTCAAGGAAAATAATAAAACAATTAAATTAAATAATTGAAATAGAGATTTGGGACCAAACCCTCAGAAATATCAAACCTTTCACGTCTAGGGCGAAGGCAATTTCGAACTTGGCTAGGTGTATCTAGTTCTAATGTATGAGGAATTGTGTTTGTAAAAGGCTAGGCTAGAAAGAGGGAGAGAGAATAAGCTTTAGCTTAGAGAGAGAGAAGAATTGGAGAATTCAGGTTATTGAAAAACAGAGGTCCAGGGACCCTATTTATAAGAAAATAGTCCGGAATTGATAGAAAAGAGTCAGAGTTCGAAAAGGAATAAAACACTCTTTTGTCGCCAGCGATAGGGCTAAAATCAAGTCGTAAAATCCGTACGAAGGGTAAAATCTTAATTTCATATAAAACACTTCTTTTATTCCAAATAAAACTCATAAAACATAATTATCAATCCTAATCCCATTAGGATTTAAATCTAGAAGATTCTAGAAGACTATAATTAATCCTAATTGAATTAAGTATGATAATTCATAATAGGCCCTCCTCTAGATCATTAGGCCGCATATAAGAACCAAACCGTGCCCAGTTTAGTATTTTGGCCATAACTTCCTCATTATTCATCAAAATTGGGCTTATAATATATCGTTGGAAAAATCTTTTCGAGCCCAATCCAACTACACCATTATTGGACCCTTTTCATGGACAAAACTAAACTGGATTGACTATTTTCATAAAATAGAGCAGGTTTTTGAAAACAGAAATAAAGATTTTTTTAATAAAAACTAACCGCAACATTAGACTTTCCACACTTTCACTTCATTCAATTATGATTCGACGCGAAAGGTTTTCATCACCAGATTTGGTTTTGGAGAGACACAAATGGGTGTCTACAGATAGTTGAGTCATGTATTGAGTCTAAAAATTATTGATGCGTGTTGATTGATTATTAGTAGCATGCTAGGGATTTCTTATTATGTTTCGCAGCTAGTATGTACTGAGCTTTGCTGATTGCGTGCTTTGTGTGTCTTTCTTTAGTCATGGCCTTTGCCTTTTAATGATCCTGTGACGATCCAATTTTTTACACTTGTAATATTGGGAGCAGATAAACCACATGTTCTTACACATGCAACATCCGTATCTAGGTGGTGGGATCTTGAGTGGAGTGTTGGTTGCTTTTCTTATTTTTATTGCTATTTACTTTTGAAGTTATTTAAACTCAATTTTACTTTCATACTACTTCTATTGGTGTGAGTTTTGAATAAGGGCCTTAATGGTTCCAAGTTGTAAGATTTAATTTGGTTTTGTTTATTGGTTTTGAAACTTATTTTTAACTGATTTAGTATTTCCGCTACTATTTTCTGATATAGCCTTAACGTTTAAGCATGTGGCGGTAGCACGCCAGTAATTTTCTTGAATATTGTTCAGGGTCCTCACGGATTTAAAGAGAGAATTATTGGGGTGTTATAATTTACCGCAGCATTGTATTCTTCCTCTGATTTAGAATAATCAGATTCAAAAGCAAGAGAATCATCATCAGTCAGAGTTAGACTCATTAGAGACAAAAATGTTATGATCTTGGAGCTTCATTTTCACCTTTGTAATAGTAAATCCTTGGATTTTGACTCGATTTTTCAATCTGTGCACTTGACCCTTCAATCGACGAAAATAATGTATAATTGCTGCTTCATTATCGGAGGACATTTTTAAACCATTGCAAAATCGAGGGTATGATGAATCACCCACATCCGACGGCTTAACACCTAATCCTAAACCACGGACACGACCATATTGATCTTTTTCCAACACTTTTGAAACAGGATCATCATCTAAGTCTTCTTGGTCCCCCTCCTCAGTTGCAACCCTTTTAATTTGGTTCTACAAAGCACAAATATATGCATAACTAAATTATGAAAAAATTATTCAACTAAATAATCTAATGACAAGGAAAAATTACACACCGTTATATCCGCTTCTCTTTCATGTTGATGACATTGTAAATAGACTTGAGTGCGTGTTGGGCTCTTGTTCAATTGTTTTTTCTAAGAGTTGCATAAAAGAGATGTTACAAACCATAACTCAACAAAGAAAAAGTGCATAAAAAAGTTGAATAATTATAGTTTCGGGGTTTAAAAAGGATACCATCTCTTTACGAATACGTGCATGACTCTTAGTACCAGTTGTATGAATCGGCTTCACTTTAGCCTTTACATGTGATTCTTTACTACGCATGCTTCTTTTCTGCCAAGAACAAAAAAAATGACAACAATTAGGATATTCTTGAAGAAATAATATAATGTTGGTCACCCATTACATACTTAAAATTTTCCAACTTGTAGCTATCAACACATTTTAGAATTGCAAGAGATTTATACACATCCGATAGATTTAGAATTGCAACAGTCTGCATCATTGTTGTGAGTCAGTCTGATATGTTAATTATGAATAGACTGATGGTGGTATTTCAATTTTTTCCTTCAACCTTCACCCATTTTTAGAGCTTGACTCCGGATTCAGGTACAAATTGTTGCTCTGCTTGACTTTTTTGAAGCTTATGGCCTGATGCCTGAAGTGTTGCATTGGAAGTACTGTGGTGCTATGCTTTTCAATTAATCTTTCTTTGTGTTTTGGCTTTACATTCTTGGTCACTCTAATTATATTTTTTCCATGGGGCACATGTTTATAGGCTATAGTTAATATTTGCTGTCAACTTTGGGAGCTAAATATTTGTATGGCAATTTGTTTGATGTTCTGCTTAGCTGGTGGCAATTTATTTTTGTCATATATATTGGATAACTGTTTTTGGTAGTTATTTTTGAGCTATTTCTTTATTCATTTTACTTTTTATTTTTGATATTTGATTAGTTTTATGAGTTATTGAGATTGCATTTGTCAGAATGAATTCAGATTGCAAAAATTGAGATTTGTTATTCAAATTGTTTGTGGTGAAGTTTTGGGTTGGATAAGAGTACTTTTGATTTGAATTGATTGGAAATTTGTTATATGTAATTTGGTATGCTTTTGGAATTTGTGGTGTTAATGTTAGTCTGTAGAACTAGGCACCTAAAAAGTGTTTTAAGAATTGAGATAGCTGAGGTGCTTGGATATTTAGATAGACAATGAATTTGAAACACCATACTAGCATATAGACAAGAGATCTATACACATCCGGGTGACCACCCACAAAAATTTTAAGCACCAACATTCACTTCAAAGTAAATCCGCTCAGCATTTCTAAATGCATAAAATTCATTTTTGATAATAGCACTATTATACCTAGAGTGAAAACTGATAATAGCCTAAAAAGGTTCAGTAGAATAGGCTTATTATAGAAAAATTACTTTGTAGTTTATATATCAAGTAGAGTGGAATGTAAGTATAATGTTGAATGTATGTATTAATTTAAGTATAAACTCATATAAAACAAACCTGTCCTTCTGCCGACCTCCAGAAATTGACAAGACTAACCCATTGATCATAATCAACATTATCTTCCGGACACTTATCATAAAGTGTGTTAACATCGGTATCATCATCATATCCTTTTGCTTTTAAATAACATTTGTAGTCTCTCCATTTATGCCCAATGGATCCCAATATCTATTTCTCCACTGATTTTGGGTAAAAAAAATCGTCTCTAAAACATTAAAAAAAATTGAAAATTATAATAACATTAAAAAAAAATTATTACATTTCCAACACACACACACACACAAAATAAAAAATAATTAAAAAAATTAAATTACCTCAACTTCTTGTAAAATCAGTTTCTGGTTGTTTCTATAACACCCTTTTTTCAATAGATCCTATCTTGTATAAGTTAAAGAACAAAGTGACCCATTTCTAGCAATTGTTCCATAAAAATATCCTAGTACCTATAGGGAATAGTTTCAAGACTTTAAAATCCCACTAGCTTGAACCCCACTGTGATCATACACTAAAGTATGGTGGCGTTCAAAAAGGGAAGAAGATAGAGCAAAAGAGTCGCCAACAAGTTTTTAAGGAACTTGTAAACCGTTCACGAGGTGAAGGTTACACCCCTTAACGATCCAAGAGATCGTCAACTCCATAAGGTCATGAACCAAAATAGGGTTCGGGGATGATGGTACAAATCCAACCTAAAAGAGATTGAACCTGCCATAATAATAGGCCTCTACTTTATTCTGATCGTATTCATGTGCGCTTTCTGAGTAACATGCAATCAATAGGATTAAACCTAAACCTGTTTAATCTATGTTGGTTGAATATAATGCACATACAAACTATTATTGGCGATCACTTGAATTATAATCACATTACCCTAACAAGATTATTAATTATCTTATTAAGCGTGATTACAAGTACCAAATTCCCTTTAAACAGGCAATAAAAGTGATCAAACAATAAATAATATAAAATAATACATATCAAGCAACATAATAAACAATCAACATCATTGATAATAATAATATCAATCATAATCATAATCATGATGTTAAAGCATAGCAAGATCCTAGGCATGATACTAACAAGATTAAAAACAAACCCTAGCATGTCACTAAGCAATAAAAATCAAATCTTTAACCCTAACATGATACTAACAATCATAAATATTAGGAAGAATATAGGAAGCATCATAACAATCATATTTAATATTAAAAATATCCTAGACATGATACTAGGAATATCATAACAACAATGTAAACATGATTTCTACATCATAAATCAATTAAACCATTAAAGTACTTACTTGGATGCCTCGTACCTCTTTCTAATAACAAAATATACACGTTAGTAACTTCAAGGAAAATAATAAACAAAGCAATTAAATTAAATAATTGAAATAGAGATTTGGGACCAAACCCTAAGAAATTAAAACCTTTCACATCTAGGGCAAAGGCAACTTCGAATATGGCTAGGTGTATCAAGATCTTGCGAATGCGGAATTTTGTATTTGAAAAAGCAAGAAAGAAAGAATGCTAAAGAATGAATATTATTGAAAGTTGATAAATGAATGAATGAAAAGAATTTATGAACGATTTGATGCTTGTTGATGAATGATGAAGATAGTTGGTGAATAAAGAGAGTTGATGATTGATAGATGTAGATGATGATTGAAAACGGAGTTTTTAATACGATATTTATAGAGAAAATCATCCAAAAAAGATAATTTAACAAAACAGAGTTTGAAGATCGAAAAACAACCTTGGCGCCAGGTCCAGTGGCTAGCGCCTGGCGCCAATCCTGGTTCCAGGCGCCAAGGCCTGGGGTTGGACGCCAAACTGACTTTTAACACGTTTTCGAAAATCTGATAAATTTCCCGTACTGGAAGATAAAATAATATAATTTCAATCGAAAATGCTATTTGATCTTGATTAAAACTCTGAAGAATCCTAATTGAATTAAGAATGAAAAGAACCTTCTAGAATGTTCTAGAAAACTAAAACCATTCCTAATTTCATTAGGAATGATAAATTATATTAGGCCCTCCCCTAGATCATTAGGCCGTACTTAAAGCTCAAACCGGGTCCAGTTTAGTAAATTGGCCATAATTTCCTCAATATTCATCGGAATTGGGCTTATAATATATCGTTGGAAAGGTCTTTGGAAGCTCCATCCAACTACACCACTATTGGACCCATATTATGGACCAACCAAACTGGATTGGCTGTTTTTTTAAAATAAAGTTTTCAAAAACAGGAAGAAGAGAAAAGAATAAAACTTTCCGCAACACTAGACCTTTCCACACTTCGTATCATTCGATTATGATCCGATGTGAAAGGCACTCATCACCGGGTTTGGTTTTGGGGAGACACAAATGGGTGTCTACAGAAACCCCCACTTTGACTGAGTTTGGAGAAACGTAAGTTTCGAAAACGAAAGCCAAAGTAGCGATAGGGACGGAGAATGATTCAGAACGTTCTGCGATCCTAAATCAGTCTTGTAACGCTGATACCTGCAAAACTAGCATTAGTTAAGAAAGATAAAAGAATTAAAAAAACGTGTATCTTGCACCGTCGAGCACACGTCTCTGAAAGTAACCGATTTGCTGCTGCTGTTGTTTTAATGACCTCCTGCAAGCTAGAGAACGACATCCCGCTTGAAAACCGCTACGCCTTGTAACTGCTTCCAAATTAGAAGATTGCTTCGCCCGAAACTATCCTCCCCGCTATGATAACATTCCACGTCCAAGGGAACATCATCGAAAATTATTTCTCTTGAAATAATCCTCATCCGCATTATGATCATCTTCCATGCCTCAGGAACTATGATCGAAGACAACTTTGCCCAAAATTACCTTCAGTTGTTTGCGACAACTCTCCGCAAGCTAGGGAATGATGTCGAAGACATCTTCTCTTGAAGTCATCTTCATTTGATGCGATAATTTCGCAAGGAAATTACCGAAGATCCACGCCTGTCGATCTTTAAAAGATCGCCTGAACCTCGCTATGCTATGCTTGTATGTCGGCGCTCTTTTGCTTTGAACCTGTATGTCGGTGCCCTATGCTCTTGAACCTATATGTCGGTGCCTTTTGCTAATGAGCCAACGCTTAGGCGCTTTAAGCTAAGTGAGACGATCTTTTCATCAGGTCGATCACTTTATGTAATCAAGCCGATTACTTAATCATGTCAAATTGCTTAGAGGGGCTAACTGGCGTACCAAGGAACCCAAAATATGTTGTAGAAGGCTAGCACAACCCCAACAGGTGGATGACTGCTTTGGCGTCGCTGAAAATCAATCAGCGCCAGCCTAATGGCATTAGCGTCAGGCGCTGGCGTTGGCGTCAAGCGCCAAGCACAGAACGTGACGTCAATGCCTAGGGACTGGCGCCAGCACGGGAATCTTCTTTAAATTCCATTTTTCGTTCATTTCTTGCTCTGTTCGTCGCGAAACTGCCCGAGAGAAGTCCGAAAACTTCAATCGATCGTTGCTCACTCGTTTCTCAACCGAATTCGCTCAAATTTGTTGCAAATCAAAGCTCTTTTCATCTATATTCCCGATATATGTAAGTTTTCCTCAAACTCACACCGGTTTTTATGAATTCTTGACATGTATATTCACGAATTTCATGAAAATTCGAAATTTATAATGCTCAATTTGCTTTGTTCATCAAGTTTTATGCCATGAAATTGCTTGTTTATGCTTGAATATTGCCTTAGGAGTAATTTGAGACTTGTTTGACTCAATTTGGTGAAGAAATGAACAATCTGCCATTGTTGGACCTCTTAAGGTCGTGAAGAACAATGTGGCTTGTTCTTGATGTTTTTGCTAGCAATTCTTGTTCAATTTGTCACAATAATCACTATAGTGTTGCAAGAAATTGTTTGATTGCTTGAAAAAATGTTGTCATGCTCAATTTGAATTTGTGCTCTATTTTAGTACTACGTACTCTGTTTTTTGCGAACATAGTATCATGCGGCTAGGCGAACATTAGATACTATAGAACCTTAATTTATGATGATTCTGCACAATGTAGCATGGCTAGACAACGAGGTTCAGGTTCACGGTCCCGAAACACTAGACGGGAGCATGGGCCCGTGGAGGACGACACCACACCGTCCACTTCGCTTGGTCGGTTCCCGGAGTGGGATGAGCAGACCTTGTTCTTTGCCCCTGTCCACCACATTTCTGAGAGGGTGAGACGGGGAACCGAGCCTGGGAGGACACGGCATCACGGCTCTGGCTGTGATGGTCTGGGCGATTTGTATAGGATGCACATCGCCAGGGATCGAGAGACGAAACTCCTATGGGAATCCTGTGGACTGGTTGCCTTGTTCGAGACCTCCGAGGCTATGGTCGCCTCCAGAGGGGTCACCACTAGTACGCGCTTTGGTGGAGTTCTTCTGGGACACCACCAACACCTTTCATTTTCCATGGGGCGAGATGATGGTCACCCCTAAAGACTTCAGTCTCATTACAGGACTAGAGTTTACTTCTGTGCCGCTGCCGTTCGACGGCGGGATCGACGTCTTTTCTCCAGAGGTCGAGGAGCTGTTGGGGCCGATTGCTATTCGGGCCCGAGCTGAGGTCGAGACGACTCAGTTCAGTGCTAGAGGGATTCGCCGCTCGACGCTGGCAGCGGCTCTTGATGATGATGCGACCATCCGAGAGCAGCGGGTGCGCATCTTTGTGCTGATGTTGTTGTCAGGGACATTCTCCCCTGATAGGGGTAGTAG